CTTCAGAGAAGAGGTCGCCCTGGGGGAGAGCAGAGCGACAGTCACGAGCGTCAAGGCCATTGCCCTGCTAAGAAAGGACCCACAAGAATAAAGCACTCATGGCACTTTTCCATGTTCAGTCACCCACAGTTTTCATAACCTTATGTGCTTATGTGTCTGTACCCTGCATCTGGCTGTCTCATCGTTATTTAAATCTTAATTTAGTTGTTTGTCTTTATGGTGTGTTTAATTGTGTACTTCATGCCATGACTTGCGCCTAAACGAATTCCTTAAAAAATTAAATTAAATGATTCTGATAAATAAGGCAGCTGCACTTATTTCCCAAACCATGTTTCTCTGGCTTCCAGTCAAAGTTACATTATGAAACCTACTCATACGCACACACTGCGTTACCTGATGATTCCCAAATGGCACAGATAATCAAAATCAATGTGCGGCAATTTAGGGGGAAGAATATTGTGGAAGAAGGCTAATTAAAGAAGCGTTAATGATACTTCAGGGACATAAATCGCTTTAAGGTTCCACACAAGGGTTCTCCAAGCCGGGCGGCTCTGTTAACGAGACGAGGAAGCACAAACCCGACAGTAACGCACCTCGTCTTCGTCATCTACATCAAACAGGCCCCTCCCTCCGCTGAAGAGCCCCCCTTTGCCGCCAAAGGGGGAGCGGTCCCCATCTTCCCGGGAAGGAGGCAGGAACAGCTTGTCTGTGTTCTCTGCTGTGGGGGGAGGGGGGGCAAGGATGCAGGGATATGGCTGAGATGATGACACAGGTCGGTGTGTCACACTCTGCACCACCACCTCCCACCAACAATCCACTCACTCTTACCGGCCTTGGTGTCTATGTCTCCTTTACTCCTCCTCTTCACTGAGGGGGCAACAGACCCTGCAACACAGCAGACAGGATGAAGACGCACAAAGACAGGTGGCCCATGGCTTTTAGTGCAGGGGGGGGGGGGGGACCGCCAGTCACATACCACTGGCATCGATTTTGGGACCGCCTGTGTCGTCGCCTTTAATGCGTGCTGTCAGCTCATCTGTGAAGGACGACGGGCCCACAGAGGTCTGGAGCGCACAGAGAGACCCATCAGACGCCTGATCTGGGGCGAGACCCCCCGGCTAGCATGGGAATCATCCCCATCCAGGGAAAACATGCTAGGTGGGGCTGCTTGCAAAACACTCATGCATGGATCTCACTCGCAAAGCGTTGGGAAGCCTATTATAGAGAGAGGTGGAACATTCAGTTCCAGAAATTACAAATCCAGACCAAGGGTTTGTTCCAACCAACCAGTTGAGTACTCTGTGACTCTTTATATTAACTGGTTGGTTGAAACAAAACCTTGGTCTGGATTTGTACTTTCTGGACATGAACTTTCCACCTCTGTCTTTAATGCATTACTTTTGCGAGTAACTTCCCCAGCACTTCTCGTAAGGTAGCATCGGTTGGCTGTCATATGCTGTGTTGAGGCATTAAGAGATGACTGCTGACCATCTCACTAACACTAACCCATCACATTCTGCCCCCCAGACACCCCAACGTGGACAGTTACCTTCTTGTCTTCATCTTCTTTGTCCGATTCACCAAATATGTCCGAGTCTTCATCTGCTTCATCGTCATCTCTTACTTCATCTTCATCACTCAACACAGGTGACTTCTGCAGCGTAACGTCATTATTAGTCATAATGGAGAATGAGAACGGTCCCGCAGTGGGAGTGGCCTGAAATGTCACTCCAGTGGCTGTGCATTGTGCTGCCATCAGGACCCACCAGGTGTCAAACGGAAAGAAAACCCACTTAGCCCAGTGATTCACACAGTACTCACATCTTCATCTTTGTCTTCCTCGCTGTCGATGACACTATCCCGGTCACTATCGATGGACATTTCTAAGAAGAGAAAGATCTGTTAAATAATTCTGACACATTAACTGCACCCAGAGATCATCCACATTTGAAGATCCCGGTCTTTGTATGTTTTGTGTTCATGTGCTTTTGTTTTAACATGCTTTTGTGGTGTTATATGTTCTCATTTGAACTTTTACTTGAAACTTTTCATGTTATTTTGCTACCCATCTTGACCAGGACTCCCTGGGAGAAGAGATAATATACCTGAATGGGACCTTCCTGGTTGAATAAAGGATAAGTAAGAAAAATTTTAAAAGATCAAAGTTTACATAATATGCGGTCAGGCAGCAGCTGCTATGGAATGTCTTTCCCTGCCTTAATGAGCTGTTTGATGTTAAACGGTAATATACAAAAATAAATCCCTGCAAACTGAATATCGGGTTCAAGGTTAACAAGTCTGTGAATGTTCTGTAAGGCCCATGACCAATATGAATAGCATTAAGACATAAACAATCCTGTACATCCCACAAAAACACAGCATGACACACAGCAGGCACGTTCTTCAAGGGAGAGACAAGGTCCAGCACCTTCACTGGAGAGATCACCCAGACCCACGTCATCCTGCTCCATGAAGAGCTGAGACCCGATCAGGTATGGCAGCGGTCTGTCCAGGTACAGATCCTGAAGATGTTGACAGACAGACCAAGAAAGAGGAGTCAAAACAGTAGCGGATGCAAAATCTCAAGGAATCATTCATACGCATCCGGTCTTTATTGTAAAATAAAAAATTCACAGTCCAAAATTGCAGCTGAAAAATTACAGTGAACAGTTTGTAATTTCTCAGTTATAATGGACCAATGACATGGTCCCAACTGCTGGAATAAGGTGGTCTTCTGTACCTTAGGCTCCAGAATTGGCTCCACTCGACCAATTGCCTCTTCATCTTCTGAGTCAGAGTTTCCAGCTTTGATGTCTAGCTGTTCAAAGGCTGATTCCAGCACTTTCAGGCCATAGTTCACTGCCTTCTGCACTTTGGGTATCAACTCGGCTTCTTTCTGCTCCCGGGTTTTCTCCTGTGGAATTAAAATATAATATTTGCTGTAAATCAGGTCCAATTTCATCTCAAATTAGCCAGTAACTCTGTACATATTTCAGCCAGAGATCCTATTAGACCAGTGTTTCCCAATCCGATCCTCGTGGATCCACAGACAGTACATGCTTTGTGGGTCCCTGAGGACTGGATTGGGAAACACTGCATTAGACATTATGGGGATCTTATGCCTCTGCTTGGGACAGAGCCAGACGTAGTTTTACCTGCTCAGGATGCTTCTCTGGAGCCTCTGGTTTCGGCACTGGTTCCTCCACCTCCTCATCGTACACCCGCTGTTGGCAGACACCAGGAGTTAAACACCCGGATGCTAATGAAAGAAAAGTCTACTGCAATCACAGAATTTACAAACAGGGATCCTCTACTATTTAAAATAAAGTTTTGTTTGAAGTACATAAAGCTACATTACCGCTGGCCTGCTGTCTGTATAACATGGTGACAAAAGAACATTACGTTTTCAATAAACTGTGTGTTGGAGAGCATGAGGAAGTCATTGAAGACAGTGTGCAGGCAGGAGTCTGTAGCTTTGGTGTCCCGCAGAAGTCCATCCAGCTGCTTCTCAATCTGATGCGTTTTGGAGAGCATCCTCTGTGAGAAGTCCTGGAGGAACAGGAAGAGCTGTGGCGACACAGCAGAGAAGTTGTGAGCACATCATTTAATGAGCAGGCATCATGGCCAAGGGCAATGGGCTCATACAGAGAGTCTTTAGAAACACTATTTTAGGTGAGATTGTGTGGTGACAGTTAAAAAAAATGAGCACTGAGGTTACCATAACTATAAAAACCAGCGAGGCTTTTCAAATGCATTTTGTGCTGTCTTGCCTGCATACTTAAGTGCAGATGTGTATCTCTGTGACGGACAGATGGCTGCATTCAGAGCATTGAATAATTCATATTTAAAACATTCATTTAGAATATTAGGGAAACTGAAAAGCTACAGCTTTTACGAAAAGCACCAACTGTTGGACTTCATCTTGGCGCACATCTCGGGTTGGTTCAGCTAGAGTTATTTGAACAGGATGTGACCTCACAAGAGGATAGGAATGAAGTGGATGGTACCCCAAGACTCCCCCAGCACAAACCCAATCACCAGTCTCTTACACCAGAATCAGCAGCCAGAGACCAGTTGGCGCTGGTTTTGCGCATCTCATCTAGGGACCAAGGCCTCTCCCACACCTGCTCGCTGGGGCCATTGGAAAGGGTCACAGTCTGAGCACTCATCTGCAACACAGCACCCACAGCCTTAACATAGTGTAGTGCAACCTCCAAGCCGAACGGAAGGGAAAACTGCGCTGGGAAGCATAATGACATCTTAAAGAAAATTCAGTACCGTCAAGATTCATCACCCTCATCAACGGTGGCTTACATCAGATATACCCGTCATTAACGTTTCTACACATTATGCAAACAAACGCGTTTTGCATGACGAATCTAAATAAACAAAACCTCCAGAAATTAACCAAAACTATGTGTATACAAAACTGTAGAATTGTGTCTATAAGGAGATAGGCTACATTGTTCCATTTCGCTATGTGTACTTTTTGGTAGCATATATTTTTATTTTTCAGATCACAACTAGCTAAGCTACCAACGACACACATAAAGATGGAAGCTTGTTATTTCCCAAACAACTCTCGATCTTACCCTAAAGGTCTTTCGTCGTAGGACTGTTGTTCTGTTATATATCCTAAATGGATCGGTAAGAAGTGTGTATGGTTTAAAAAAACATGTCCAAGTTGCAGATCCCTACGGGTCGCCTGACAACTCAGCCATGTTCCGTCGGCTACAATCAGCTGACAGGGTCACGTGACTGAGGAGCAGCCCCGGCTTGCGAGGAAAGTGTCGCCGGGGAAGACGTGCACAAGAAGAAAATGCAATATTTCTACACCAGCTGATGGAAGGATCAGAAATTCTGTATTTCCTGGACAGCGTATATCTGGCATATGATCCAAGTTTCGTTGGAAGGAGGGACTCTTACTTTGAAATATACGCCTTAGAAACCACAGGAAGTGAGACTTTTAATTTTTTTATTGAAACCAGAGCGCATTTGTAGTTACACGATACTGTGCGACTAACCTCGGGATAAACGCGAAAGCCCGTTTAGGTTCTTTGATGCCGCCCTAGATTGCCTGAGCGAAAAGGCGTGGAGACGCAGCTGCAGCCGAGACCCGCGCACAGCCCTCGAAACGCGTGCTTTGTAAAGCTAATCACCCAGAGAACCGGTGCCGGTCGTCCACGCAGCCCATGACCAGTACTGCTCGGGCGGTAGGGGTCGTGCTTGCTCCCGCGGAAGTGCCGCTGCCATTTTGTTGCACGGCGCTAGATGCATCGGTATTTCACAGCACGGGAGCTTCCGAAGGTACTTTTCGATTAACTGGAACTTTTTTTTTTTTTTTGACGTATCGGATATTTTACGCGTTTATGTTTTGTGCACAGTATCCGCCTTACGCGTGCCTTAGGGTTCCCACTGACCATTTAAGCCAGTTGGTCAGCTATGTCAGACTGATACTGAGAAGTTGTTCAGCCGGTGTAATAAGTAATAAAACCACACAGGTAGTTGAGTGAAGGCGTTTTGACAGGTTACTGGACTGTAAGGAGTGGCAATAACATCGTGGTCAGTTTGGGGTCGGACTGGGAGTCAGGAAGCTGTGTTAGAATGAAACTGACAGCCGCTGTCCGTTCCGCTTTTAATGCGATACGGCAGGGTTTATAGAATTCGCGTTTGTGTGTTTCGGCCATTAGCATTGTCGCCATTCTGTGATTTAAGTTTAAATAAACTATCCGGGAGACTAAGATGAATGTTATTAAAATTAATGTGGTTGTTTGTATCTTTACTGTGAACACGGTTTAACTCAGCACCGGACTTTGTGTTACTTTGTTTCTGCAGCCGAGGCGAGATGATTCACAGCTTGTTTCTGATCAACTCTGCCGGCGACATATTCCTGGAAAAACACTGGAAAAGTGTCATCAGCCGCTCGGTCTGCGACTACTTCTTCGAGGCTCAGGAAAAGGCATCGACTCCGGAAAATGTCCCACCTGTCATCTCCACCCCTCACCACTACCTGATAAACATCTACCGGGACAAAATCTTCTTTGTGTCCGTCATCCAGACCGAAGTGCCCCCGCTGTTCGTGATCGAGTTCTTGCATCGAGTGGCCGAAATGTTTCAGGTGAATTATTCTCCCACATTATCACGGGAATTTCACGTCTGTGTACATGTACATAAACTTTGTAGTCTGACGCTCTCGAATTAGCTGAGTCTGCATGTTCCACATGATGGAAACACACTGTTTTCCCTCTAAAACAGGATTACTTTGGCGAGTGTTCTGAGGCGTCCATCAAGGACAACGTGGTGATAGTGTATGAACTCCTGGAGGAGATGCTGGACAATGGGTTCCCCTTAGCCACTGAGTCCAACATCCTGAAAGAGCTGATCAAGCCCCCCACTGTTCTGCGGTCCGTGGTGAACACCATTACAGGTGTGGCACAACTGCATACTCTACTCCTCTTAAATGCAAATGGGGGCACCAAGGCTTCAAAAAAACCCCATTGTCAGTCTCCAGCTGCTTTAGGAAACTTCCTCATTCCCTTGTTTCCTGTTGGTTCAAAATATGGCAGTGGTTTGCAACTCGTGCTAATCCCACCCACCATGTGTTCCTAGGCTGGCACCTACAGCACCTGTTGCAATAACTTGCATTCTCTTCAGGCAGCACTAATGTTGGGGAAACCCTGCCTACTGGACAGCTGTCTACTGTCCCTTGGAGGCGGACTGGAGTGAAATACACCAACAATGAGGCCTACTTTGATGTAGTGGAGGAAATAGATGCTATCATAGATAAATCAGGTACAACATTCTCAACATTCCGATGTAAAGAAAAATATGACGGACAGAACAATGTATTACATAGTTAGAAGTAAAACACTGCTGTTATGATCGTGTCACACAGTGTAGGTGTGCTTTCGTTCCTAGGGACTACAGTGATTGCTGAAATCCAGGGTGTCATTGACGCCTGTGTGAAGCTCTCTGGGATGCCAGACCTCACACTGTCCTTTGTGGTAGGAGCATCGCCATGTGGACATGCAGCAGTCCTCCTTAATCTCAGTGGTCCCGCTGTTGGCTTTTAAAGGCATGCTAAACAGTGGATTAGGTGACTTGGAAGTAAACATCAACCCTTAATGCCCTTCTGGTGCCTCTCAAGATGTGCTTCAGTCGATCTTCCCTAGATGATCCAGATACACCTCCTTGGTCACTTAGCAGCAACCAGATTTTCAAGATCTTACCCTTGTCCAGGGGTGGATTTGCCGTTTCTGAAGCTCCAGTGTAGTGACTGTTTGTGGGCAGCAGGGGGCCCCCCAAACCTTGGGAGCCCCACACAAATGCATGGTTTGAGTGATGGTAAACATTGCCACTGCCCTTATCAAGGAGCTCTCAAAATAAACTTTGTTGAACCAGATTCTCTACACTACACATGCATATCCGTTTACACACTTAAGTCCATTATTCTGAAAAGTTGTGTGATAATCATATTAGTGATTAACTGGATTGTGGAATAGGATATTGCTTTCGTTATCTTGTTTTTCCCTTAATTCTGTTTACTTTGTAATCCATTCGTTTTCTTGCTGATTTTAGCTGTGCACAAGTAGCTTCTGAATTGACGTTCAGTATACTGAAACTTGTGGACGACAGGAAATCTGAGACATCCAACATGTTACTATTGCTGTAGAACCCGCGCCTCATGGATGACCTGAGCTTCCACCCCTGCGTGCGTTTCAAGCGCTGGGAGGCAGAGCGCGTCCTCTCCTTCATCCCCCCTGACGGCAACTTCCGTCTGGTGTCCTACCACGTCAACGCCCAGAAGTTAGTTTGACTCGAAGTGAAAATGGTTAAGCTGGTATAGACAGGCCCCGACAGCCCTTCCCACAAACCTCTGTTCCTGTTCTGCAGCCTGGTGGCCATTCCTGTGTATGTCAAGCAGAACATCAGCTTCTTCGAGAGTGGCTTTTCAGGGCGGCTGGACATCACGGTGGAGCCCAAGCAGACCATGGGCAAAATAGTGGAGGGCGTGGTTGTCACAGTGCACATGCCCAAGGTGGTACTCAGTGCCAATCTTACTCCCACCCAAGGAACCTACAACTATGACCCAGTCACAAAGGTATGGTCTACCTCATGAAATAGTAAAATTAACCCCACTGCCTAGCAACTCGGTGACAGTACAGCCAAACAATATTAATCCCTGCAGTGCTTCGTTCAACTAGTCACTCATCTGTTCATCAGAAGGGGATGGAGCTCAGCTGAGTTGGTAAGACTTTTTTCCCCTATTGTTCGTCCAGGTACTTGCGTGGGACATCGGGAAACTCAACCAGCAGAAGCCACCAAATCTAAAAGGAAGCCTTAGTTTACAGTCAGGGGCTCCGAAGCCGGAGGAGAATCCCAGCCTCAACATTGACCTGAAGATCCAGCAGCTGGCCATCTCAGGTGAGGCTGCAGAGCCACTTGTGGGCTGCCCGCTATCCTCAGGTGGCTGCCAGTGATACCATTTTCTGTTCTGTGTGCCACAGGTCTCAAGGTGAACCGTCTCGACATGTTTGGAGAAAAATACAAGCCCTTCAAAGGAGTCAAGTACCTGACCAAAGCTGGGAAGTTCCAAGTCCGGACGTGAAACACCAGGAATCTTTTTTTCTGTGTGTAAATAGGTCCAATACCAAACCAAAGATCCTGAGGTGACCTCATGGGGTCGTTAAAGCCATGAAGTGATTTGTTGGACATAAATCTGACAGATTTGAATGGTTGAAGCACATAGACCTACTCAGAGTTACAGTACATGCCATGCAGGTGCTCAGTAGGTCACAAGAAACCAGCCTTGCGTTGATAGTGCCAAATGTAAGTTAATGTTAATATCTAACACTTCCAGGGGTTCTTAATTCCTTTTATTCACCTCGGTCTTTAAAATGTGGGCTAATCGGATTTGGTCACGCACTTGCACTGTATGGACTGGAAGCATGGAGAGACCCCACAGGGTGCTAAACAAGTGTAATGGGTTTAAGCAAAGACAGCATGTACATTTAGGTGTTGCTGTGTGTAGGAGCCTGGGCCTGTGAGAAGGAGCGGAGCTTCTCAGGCTGTGTGCTCATGGATGACGTCCCACCTTCGCGCCATATGGTACATGACATGTTTCGTTTTTACTCTGGATAAGGAAAAATAAATCTGCCTTTGGCTTTATTTTGTGGATGGTATGAGTGAATCGTGTCCCCGCAATGAAAAGAGATGGCTGCCAGTGTGTATCTGGGGTGGCTGGGGGTGGGGGTTCTGTGTGATAGTTCAGAGCAATGCCATAAGAAATAAGCAAACCTCCGTGTGATCTTAAGAGGATGAGGACTTGCACAGCACTGCACGATGGGAGAACAAGCAGGAGAGCGTAAGCCAAAAACTGACAGATGGAACTGTGTTCTGTAAGGGAAATACAGCAGGCGGTTGTTTTTAAAAAACATCTTGTTTTCTTTGCAGAATGAATGTCATGAGATGGTTCCATGTATGATTTCAAGCCAAGATGAATAAAATTAGGTTTGTTACAAAAACGGGAATGTTGAAATGTTTAGTACAGTTGATACTGATAAATGGACAGGAGGTGGTCATACTAAGCATTATGGGTAGGAAGTAGAAAGAGACGTCAAATCCCACCACAATAGTTCAGCTCAGTCTAGTCCTACTGGTGGGTGACACTGGGATACTGTGAAGCAAAGAGCTGGTGCTTTTATCAAACGTTTAGTTTTTATTCCAAGGCACAGAGATCAGATCCTTATGAGGCACTGTAAATCAAGACTCCAAGTGTACATTTACATTCAAAACCAGGTGGTCGTCACAGAGTTTCCTAAACCATCTTTCCGACAGTTACGTTAGGAGTATCACCTTCTGTAATCCTTACTTGTGAGGCACAAAGTTTCTAGGGAGTAAACTAGTGTATGTCTGCAGAAGTATGTAAGTGTTATGGACAAAGCAATACTTTGTCAGAGAAAACAACAGCTGAATGAAGGAATTTCAAATGTCACGAGTGACTGGGGATAACGGGCTGCCAAAAAGAGTTTCAGGCACACGATCCCCCGGGATCCCGAATACATTCTTCTCACATCTGATAGCTTCACACAAAAAGGTGAGAATTGGGTATGTGTCAGGTGAGGATGGGTAGCTTTTAGCAAAGTGAAAAGTGCAGATTTTTTAATGGTTATAAATCGTGTCTGCAATGCTATACTAGTAAACCTTCCTATCGACTGGGTGCTTACATGAGTTGTCTCATAAAAAGGTCAGTTATGCTTGGGTTCGTACACCCCCCCCCCATTAAAATCTATATATATAAAATTTTTTTTATAGTTTTCATGTTGCTTAGTAAACAAACAATTTTCAGATATTGCTAAAATACAAAGAAAAAAATCTGTCTTTAAAAACTAAATCTTTGGCTTCGTTTCAAACATTAGAAAAAAAAAAAAATCCTAAAACCCAAACATCCCAGAACCATCCACAAAGCAAAACCCCATTTCAGCTGTTAAATAAATATTACTCCGAGAGCAACATTTCGCTAAAAAGTTAGGATCCTCTGGTTAGTGCGCACAGCCGTGACTGAAGTGTGTGTGGCTGTCACACTTCCGGAAAGCACTAAGGAGGCGGAAAGAGATGCATATATACATTGTACAGCGAACAATCCTGAAGAGTACCCACCATGTTAAGTTCTGCTGAGACAAAGAAAAACTTTAAACCCGACCATGATGGGTGATGCAAGCAAATCATATACTGAAAAACCCCGAAGCGTTCCCATGGTGATTCAGGTAGAGGCGACCCACCACGACATCCGGTCAGCCGCCACTGCAGTGCTGGGTTCAGTGTTCACACCTCTGGTTCGAGGTGGGGAGGGAGGGTCTGCCTTACTGGTACCAGGGGGTCTTCCTGACCCAGCGTAGGGTGATCCCCGCGTCCGTCCGGATCTTAATGGAAGCCGCCTCCGCTTCTCTCACTGTCTCCTTCACGGACTGCATAAGGTTCTGGGCGTTGTGGACCAGCATCTCCGTAGCCTGATGGGAGACGCACACATGAGCGTGTTGGGTAGGGCCGGTGGCGCAAGAGGGCTCACGGGGGAGCGAAGCGTACTCACCTGCTCCGACTCCTCCTCGCTGATGTTGGTCCGTCCCAACATGGTGGCCTTGACGGTGGACAGGATCTTCAGCTGTGTGCTGATGGTGGGGATCCGCTCGCACACCTGCGGGGGGTCAGAATCAGCAAAGTTGATGGTAGGTGAGTGGCGGCACTATCAGGGTGAGGAACCGGATGAAGAGCCCACATCCTGAGTGAAGGTCAGCAGAAATGAGCTGGGGACTCCTCACCTGAAGCAGGTTGGTGCGGATGCGCTTATCCGTACACTGCTTGGCCACCTCCTTGGCCAGCCGGGTAACCTCATCGGAGGCTTTGGCGATGTCCTTAGCGCACTGGATGAGGGCTCGCTTGTTCCCGCTGCCCCCCCGCACCAGCCGGGACATCTCCGCCATCAGCAGAGCCATGCGCTTGGCAGCACCAATGATGTCGTTACCCTGGATTTTAGGGGAGATGAGGGGAGTGGTGGTAGAAATTACCGTTTACTACCAATTAGCACCAAATGGCTCCAGGAACAACGATATAGAGGACATTTAATTAAGGACGGGGTCTGAGTAGATCAATCCATCTGAGGTGCAGCTTCCTGACAAGAATCATGGGGTACCGAGGGCTGGAAGCAAGCTGCTTCACACGCACCGTAGTGTCACTGACAGCGCCGGGCATTTCAGTCCTTTATGGAGCTTGCACACTCCATAAACGATAACAGCATGGATCAGACACGAAACAGGCCGTCACACTCTCTATTTCACCCCAAGCAGAGTCCACGTGACGCGGTCCTCTTCTCCGCTGAGGACACACCCCATGTGTTATTGGCGAACATTCTAGGTCAAAGGTCACCGCCCACATGCACCATGCATTGTGGGAGTCCTTTAAATGCCACACCGTGGAGGGAGACCAGAGTAACAGCCATGAAGGCCAGTCACAAGCATCACAAGGTTAAATCTGGTCTGCTGAGAACAAACAAGTAGGAAACAACCACAACACAGGCAACATGGCGTCATCTGGGTTAATTCAATTATGGGGAAACTGTCATCCTTGGCTTCACAGGTTGGAAAAGACATAAGGAATAATGTGGAGAGAGACTGACTCCTCCTGTGGCCCTGACATTCAATTGGTTTATCCAGAAGGAAGGGGAGGGACTTGTGAAGCCAGCAGCAGTTTGTCCACACTTGGCATTCTGTTTTAATCGGGGTTGCCTGGCAGCACAGTCTAAGGTGATGCAACAACTGCAGGCCAGGGTCCCAAATGACGGGCGCAGGAGGTACCTTACTGGACCACTTGCGCGCTTCCCGGTGTAAAGCTTGAGCGGCAGCCAGCATGGGCTGGTTAACGGGCTGATTGGTGGGCATTAAGAGCAGCTCAGGCTCATAATCATCTTCATGGTCTGTGAACTCAGCATCATCCTCATCATAAACATACATATCCGGCCTGGTGGCCTGAAAGCCCTCATCTGGGACATCGGGCTGGGGAGGACGAGCAGGAGGAGCAGTAGGAGGACAGGGAGGGGCAGCAGCATGGGGAAAACAAGGAGAAAGTTAGTATGAGAGGGGCAGGGTGAACATCGGAGGAAGAGATATGTCAGAGGGTGGGGTTAAGGAGAGAGAAAAGTTACAAGGAGAAAGTGAGAGGAATGTAAAGGAGAGGGAGGCAGACCTACAAAAAAGAGGAGAACTTTAGGACAGGAGACCTGCAGAACAGACCTGCAGAAC